GGGAGGGGCTGGTGGGTTAGAGCAGGGGGAGAGCCAGGTCTCCTGGGTTCTCTGCCTGGCTCTCGGATGGAGGGGAGCACCACTGGGTTAGTGTGGGAGGGGATACATGGTTGGGGGCAGGTGGACGTGTAATGGGGCCTGGCAAGTGAGGAGGTTTCACATAGGTGATCCCCCCCCCCAAAATCCAACTGCAGCTGCTGCCATGTTTGAATCCAGCTTGGCCGCTTCCTGTTTTCACTTCAGACTTCCTGCTGGGTGACCTCTGCCCCTACCGTCTTTAGGGGGGTTCCTGCTGTTGGGCTGGCTCCCCTCCGAGAGCAGGTGTTCAGGGGAGGGGAGCATGGAAAATTCAGCAGGGCTCCAACACCAAGGACAGATGCTGTGGGGAGAGAACCCAGGCGTCCTGGCTTCCAGCCCCATGTGCAGTGCAGGGGGATGGGTTCTCTGGGAAATTCACCTCCGTTCTTCACGCCCCCTCCCCCCAGTTGCACCAGCTGGTCCTGGAGTCAGCGCGGGAGAAGCGTGACATGGAGCAGAGACACGCCATGATCAAGCAGAAGGTGGGTATGGAGCCGTGGTGGGAGCTCTGGGGGCAGGTGTCGAGGAGAGTCTCTTGGGTGGGTGGTGATGAGAGGGGTCAGCAGGAGAGAGACAGCTGTGGGGAGGAGTATGGGAGTTGGGGGTGTGGCTGTGGAGTGGCCGGGTCTTGAACATAGTGGGTGGGACTCGGAGATACCAGAGTGGGGCTAGGCATGCGGGGTGAGTCCCAGGGAGTTGTGTTTGGGGATGGGGCCCTGAGGGGGGCAGTGGGGCTCATGGGATGGGGTGAGGTCTTGGGGGTGGGCAACAAGGTTGGGGTAGGGAAGTGGGGCCTGATGGGTTGGCCTAGGGGTGCAGGCCCCAGGAGGGGTGGGGGCAATGCTAGAGGTGTACTGCAGGGATAGCGGGGTAGGAGTGGGGCTGTGGCAGGTGCAGTGGGGCCAGGCCATGGGAGAGGGAATGGGACTGTTGGGTGGGGGACGGGGGCGTCAGGGCTTTGAGGCTGGGCCTGGGGCTGGGTGGGTCCATCTCTAGCCCCACTGACAGCTCTGCCCCCCCAGGACCTATCTCAGGACGAGGCGGTTCTGGAAGGGCGCAGGGAGGCGCTGGAGGGGGTGGTGATGGAGGGCTACCTCTACAAGCGGGCCAGCAATGCCTTCAAGACGTGGAGCAGGTCTTTGCACCCCAACTCCCTCACCGCCCCCATCTCCTCTCTGCTCCAGGCACCTCAGCATCTGTCTGGAGGGCCATGGAGACCCCCTCCCCACTCTCCCACTCGGGCTAAGGACCCACTTCCTTCCCCGCCCCCAGGAATCATGTCTCCCCACTGACAGCCCCCTCTCTCTGCTAGACGCTGGTTCTCCATCCAGAGCAATCAACTCGTCTATCAGAAACGGGCCAAGGTGAGCAGGGCCTGGATAGAAGGGTTGTGGGGGACACGGCCAGGAGTGGGTTGGGGGCCATTGTCTGCCCCCTCCCCCAGTACAGAAGAGGGGGCTGGTCTTGGAGAACCAATGGGGGGTTCTTGTCTTGGCTCTGTTCCCTGGGTGGGGCTTTGCTCTCTGCCCCCGTATTACCCGCAAAATTTCTCTAATCCTTCCACACTGTAGGGACACACACCTTTACCCAATTCCTAGGGCTCAAGGTGCAACCCTGTTAATTTACACACCCAATTCCTAGGGCTCAGGGCGCATCTTCCTGCGGGTTGGCAGGATCTTTAGCCACTGAAAGAGCCTCACACAGTAATATCCTTATCCTCTATTTATTAACAATTCCCAAACAAGCAGAATACACATGCTAAGCACACGGTGTCATGCTCACCAATCCTAATATAGGCAGGCAGACTTTCTCTGTTGGCCAGGCATGGTCAGTCTCTCTGGATCTTAGCTGCTGCATGTCACAGTTGTGCAGGAGAGTCCTGGCAGCAATTATCTTAGGCTGGCTCTTGGAGGTGAGTTCTTCTTGGTGTTCCTTGTCTCCCTTTGGTCTTCTTCTGGCCTTTTGCTTCCTTCCTTCTGCTTCTGTTACTTCTGATCTTCTTTTTTTTCTTCTCCTTCTTGGATCCCAGTTTATATAATGAAACCTGAGTCTTGCTTAGCTATACCTGTACCAAATATTTTAGTATAATTTTACTAACCAATCATATCACAATTACCTAACCGATCATACCCCATAATTGATTTACACCTAGCAAAATTAATTATACAACAGACAGAAACAGTTACAAACCAGACAGAGATATCACAGTCAAACAATAGGAAAGTGTAATGACAATGATCATAGAATGGGGATTCTACAACCTCAAGTATTGATAAGCAGTTTCTTGCCAGACAGAATGGTGTGACTAAAGTTTTCTTTACCCATCTTGAGGTCTGTTTCTTTATCTGGTGACAGTGGGGAACTATCAGGCCAAAGTCCCCTCCTCACAGCCTGGTGTGACACTTTTTAATACAATTTAGATGGAATTGTGAGTATGTGAATCCAGGCCTTACAGTTAATGGCTGCTGCTCTTCAGTCTGGCTGCAGAAGGTGGCTTTGGTTCAGGCCTAGCACAGGCCTTCCAACATGGCTATACAGGGCCGGCTCGAGCCATTCCTGCACCCTGGGCAGTGGGCGCGCGGTGCATGCGCGGCTCCGCCCCTGGGCGCACGACACATGCACGGCCCCACCCCACGGCGCACAGCACCCCTTAGAGCTGCCATCAGGCGCCCCCCATAGGTTGGTGCCCCGGGCAGCTGCCCAGCTAGTCCCCCCCCCCCTTAATCCAGCCCTGTGGCTACAGAAAAGCCATATTGTTACACCTGGATGTAAGTGGGAGGGGCTCTAGGGTACTATCTCTGCCCCCAGGACGTGCTGACGGTGGTGGTGGATGACCTGCGGCTCTGCACAGTCAAACTCTGTCCCGATCAGGAGCGTCGCTTCTGCTTCGAGGTCGTCTCACCCTCCAAGTGAGTCCTGCTGCCTGGATCAGTATTGCCCTCCCCCCCCAGCAGTCCCCAACCCTCCCCGCTGCCCGTGAATCAGTGCCACCCTCCTGGCTGCCTCCCAAATCAGCATCACCCAGCCACCCCCTGACCCTCCCCACTACCTCCTGAATTAGCGCTTCCCTGACCCTCCCTGCTGCCCTCCAGATCAGTGCTACGTTGGCTGCCCTTAAGCTAAACTCCCTCTAAGTTGTGCATCTGCCTAATTATAGCACTGGGCAGACTCTCAAGGACCCTACCCGGGGACCTGCCATGGCCAGGAGAGGGACAAACTGGACCCAGCTGGAACCTGGGGGGTGTAGCAGGAACGCCCATCCTGTGGCTCAGCCCCAGAGCTGCCCCACTAGGGAGAGGCACCTCTCCTGCAATCCAGGTGCTGCTGCGAGGAGAGAGAGTTGGAGGCGGGGGGAAATCATCTGTCCTTGCAGTATATCTGGAGCCCTCAACCACACCCCATAGCCCACACCCCGAGCCGGAGCCCTCACACCCTTGTACCCCAACCCTCTGCTCCAGTCCTGAGCCTCCTCCCGTACTACAACCCCCTTGGTCCCACTTCCACCACATGAATTTTATTACGAGCACCAGTATGAAGGTGCCATGTCACATGGCCCCTTTGTGTTGCATGGCCCCTCTACAGTGGTACACAGAATCCCACTTAGGGGGTGGGAAAAATTAGAGGGAACACTGGCCCTTAAACCTCCCCACTGCACCTCTTCTGCCTCCCCAGTAGGGGTGCCAGATCACCCCCACTGCACCCCACCTTGCTGACCCCCAAGTGAGTGCCAAAGGTCCCCCTGCTGCACCCTACTCCGTGTGTTCCCAGCTTGGTGCAATTCTTTGGCTGCAATCCCTCCCCCACTCCCCTGTCACCAACTTTGTCTCCCCTGGGCCCAGCCTCCTGCCCCATCTGGCAGGGAGTTCCATGGAGCCCCCCCCAATGCTCCATGTTCCATCAGGAGCTGCCTGCTACAGGCTGACTCGGAGAGACACCAGCAGGCCTGGCTCAGTGCTGTGCAGAGCAGCATCGCCTCAGCCTTCAGCGAGGGGCGGGCCGAGCCCCCTAGCCAGGTATGGACCTCATGGAGCCCCCCCACAACTCTCAACACCTGTGGGGTTGTGGGTCAGGAGCAAGGGTGCTGTGGGTGTCGGGGGGGCTGAAGTTGGGAGCAAGGGCTGTCGGGGAGCTGAGGAGGGCTGCAGGTGGAGACTGGGGCACGCTGTAAGGGTATGTCTACACTACCACCCTAGTTCGAACTAGGGTGGTAATGTAGGCAACCGGAGTTACAAATGAAGCCCAGGATTTGAATTTCCCGGGCTTCATTTGCATCTCGCCAGGCGCCGCCATTTTTAAATGTCCGCTAGTGTGGACTCCGTGCCCGCG